GTGAAAGCACCCCATACTTCTAACCCACACATGATAATTGGTAACACTGTACTTTTAAAAAGATGTATGGCATTTTTTGGTGAAACAGTGTGATTCCCTAAATTTAAATTTTGTGTAAGTGCACCCAATACACGTAATGATCTTTTAGCTAAGCAGTCTATCGCTATTGTGAAATTTCCACTGCTTTGAAATGTAATTCCCAGATAAGTATATGAAGGTACTATTTGAATTTCCTGATCACCAAAATAAAAAAACATTGTCAAGAGTTCTCCCCCTTTTATTAAAATTAATTTTTTTTTCTATTAATATTTACATTTAATTTCCACATCTCACAGTTTGTCTAGGTTATTTTGAAGCCCTTTGCTTGAATCTTGACAACAATACTATGTCATCAGCAAAAAGCAGACTGTTTAAATCTGAGTTTCCTAGACTTAACACTATCCTACATGTGCTACATATATAAATTTGGTTGCTCAGAATTACTTCAAAGTTGAGTTTGTGCTGAGTGATAAAGATACATGGTACAGTGCTACATGCATGCACCTATTAGAAACGCACATTTGAGCTTTGCCCCCCCCCCCAAAAAAAGGGTGAATTTTATTTAAGGGATGGAACCAGACAACACATATGAACAGCTGTATGCATTCTGTAATCTTCAGTAACAGCAAACTTAAAACTTGAACAAAACATCAAACCTTTTATATGTTTAGTCATGGTTGCTAGGAACATAGTGTAGCCATGCATGGTGGCAAGGAACATACACACCTATCTAACTGTTATTTAGTACAGCTGTATCAATGATAATGTGCTTAAAATTACAATTGTATGTGGTTAAATTACAGTAATAAAATAAACAAATGAGAGAGAGAACCAACCAGAAGGACAATGTCAGTGAACATTTAGTGTGAATATAGCCCTGCTTAATTTTGGCGATAGTGAAGTAAAAAAAAATGAGCAATTTAAAACAAATTTTGAAACAAGCAGCCTCTTGGCTAAGATAGCTCTGCTGTAAGCAATGCACATTTCAATTAAAGAATTGAAAATATCATCACAAAATGAACAAATCTGAGATCGGTTCATATGAGGTACCGGTATCTATATTTTAAGGTTATTCTGAAGATACCTCAAAGTATGCACGAAGACAGTACAGCGGCAGTATCGACCGACGCGCAGCGGAGGTCAATGCGACAGCGTACTGTCTGAGTGCATACTTTGAGGTATCTTCGTAATAACCCTATTATTATAATAATCAACAATATTAAATATTGCCAATTTACATCTCACGGCATCCCAACAGAGTTTTCTTGAAGAAGCCCTATTTCTAGGGCAAAACGTTGGAATAAACATCACAGAACTGACCAGGTGTATTGTCGTGACAATCCTTGTGTTATTTGCCTATTATTATACATCTTTTCCTTCCAATGATACATCATGGGAATGCCGAAATCCAAAAAGTTTAGAACAGAATCAGCGAAATTATATGTGTGGAGTCCGGTCAAATCCAGGTGGCAGCCATGTTTGTTTTTATTATTAGAGGACGCTTACGAGCGTAATCATTTCATATTTGGAATTCGCATTTCCTAATATGGTAGTATGAAAATACCCCGTAAAATACTGCAAAATAACGGCACGCTGTAACTTATGGTGTTACGGTGACAGATGTATAATAAATATATGTAATATCAAAGCCTTCAAAATTTCAGAAGTAAAAAATGTCACGTTTTACCAAAAATGACAAAAATGTTCATTAAAATTAGAGAATTGAAGATACTATGATAGTTTTATAAAATCATTGCTTACATGTCACAATATGCAAATTTAAAAAAAAAAAAATTATTTGACTAAAAGATGGATGCATGGACAGACAAATTAAAGTTAATAAAAAATAAAATTGAAACATCTTACCTTGGTGTATTCATTTTCAGAAGGATACTGAAAACAGAATACAAAATTTATCAATTTAAAACTGAAATGCATACCAGCTTTACACGTTGGGAACTGGTCACTTGTTATCTGATTATCTTTAAATTTGGGAATCCTATCAATTACTAATAAATTGATGACATATACAAAGCTAATTGACATTCAGCCAAGATGTCAAAATATCAAGTAAACAAGCAATCAGGCTGTTAATTTGAAGAAGTTGATAATATAATTTTTAGCAAAAATGAGAATTGAAGTTATATCTTCAACTAATAATTTAAATTAGTTTAACATAACAAAGCCATTCAATACTTACAAATTCATGTTGTAAAGCTTACCTTTTCAGTTCCAAGAAATAGCATGTGTTCACAGAAGTGAGCTAAACCAGGGATATGATTGGGATCAGACATACTACCTACAAATTATAACAATAAAGAAATGTAAATACAATGTACAGATTTTTTATGAAACACTGAATTCTATTGTTTTTTGTGCTAGATATGAAACACACTTTCAAATTTCAGCTTCATGAACTGTTTGTACATAATTCATATGCAAAGTTCATTGACCTATGTCTGATGTAAGTTTTTACCTATATGTATATCCATAGCAGCTGATGATTTCTCTGTTGTGGAATCACTGATTAAGACCACTTTCATTCCGTTAATAAGCTCCAATCCACGATACTCTCTTTTATCTTCAGCAGATTTCACAATCTTGTCAAAAACTGTATTCACTTTGTTTTCCATCATAGCCATAGATTGTTGGCTTTCTGTGGTTTCTATGACTGAAGTATTGTTTTCTGTAGCTGTGACATTCACTTCTGATGTCAACTGTCTTGGAAGAGAAAGTGGAAATTGTCGATGAAGACATGACGGTGGTAGCATTAACTTTGGCTCCATTGTGTATCAGGCAAAGAAATATAAACAATATAAAAAGCAAAATGTCTTTCTCTGGGAGGAGATAGCAATTACAAAAGCAATTACAAACATGTGTGACTGCATGCAACAAGGCATAGCTACAATGTAACTATAACAATAAAAACCTCACATGATTTGTGTCATAGGTTAACAATTCATGATGTGAGATAAGTACAATGTACAAGTCATGTATTAAAAGCAATTTTTGGAAAATAAATGTTGCGATATTTTGTGCACTGATAGAGTTGTTTCAATAGAAATATTAGAGGTGTTCAAGGGAATTCTGTAATCAAGAACACTTTAGGTATTTAAATGTATGCATGAATTTGATTTTTTGTTGGTGCAAAGTGTATGTACACAATACATACATGTATACAGTATTTTGCCATTTAATATCAGTCAAAATAAAATTCAAAACTTTGTTTTGCTTTTTGCATAGTCCGTTGATGAAGCCACATAAAGTAGATTGTATCTCCCAAGTTTTCATGACCGTGCATCTTTGTATTTACTACAGTAGTTCAGAAAGTGGCACAGAGTTTATGTTTATGTTTTTAATTTATTGACACAGCAATATGGCCACTAAATAGAATTAACATATTTGGCGAAAGGTATCATAAGTTGAGTATCCAAAGCACTTAACAAATAAATGAATTAATATTCTTGATTTAGTTTTTCAAATTCTGGAAAGCTAATATTGTGAAAAAAAATTTCAGATAATTTAGTGCATATGATTATGTTTAATTGTTGAATGTTGTACTTGCTAAATTTACAAAGTTATAAAATTTACATTTGCCCAGACATAACTTACCATCCCTTTTACAAAAATAGAATGTTCCAAAGTATTGAGCTTCAAAAACAAAATTTTTAAGCTGACATATTGTGGAGTACGGAGGGGATATGCATAACTTGCATGCATTTCTCCAAATTGATGTAATACTTATCTGGGATGCAAGTGAACTGAACTTGTATTTAAAGGTGTGTGTTGGTGTGTAAATAGATGTATTGAATTTGATCTGGAACCATGATTTGAGAATGCATATACGAAAAATAACAGACTTGTAAATTACCAATGACCAAGTTTCTTTTCAAATTATTTAGTGATAAAATGCTCATTGAGAAATTGCATATTAATTTTTGCAAACAAGTCTTGGGAGTAAACAGAAAAGTCTCAAATAATGCTTGCAGGGGGGAACTGGGTCGATATCCAATTATTATCAATGCCTGTATGAGTTATTTTCAAAGATTGCATTGTAAGAAAACAAGCAATTCTATTTTAGAAGTCGCTTTTAACTTTAGCAAGTCTAGTAGTTGTGATTCATGGTATATCTATGTCAAAAACTATTACAAGTTTATACAGTTTACAGTTGATGACCTTAATCAGAATGACTTTGGTGTGAAGTTCAAAGACAAGCAGCCTATTGGCTGAGATAGCTCCGCTGTTAGCAATGCAAATTTCAATTAAAGAACTGAAGATATCATTAGAAAATGAACAATATGTATAGTATCAAAGCAAACAGACTTGCTGTTTCAACAAGAATTCAAAAATATTCATCAAAATCATCATCGCGAAATGAACAAATTTGAGAGCGGTCTGTAGTACCTATACCGGTATATCCCGGGGGAGGGGGGGGGGGTACTTGCAAAAAATACTAACAGGGGTGTGTCACTGGTTGTTTGAAACCCATATCCCTTATCAGCAAAAAATAAACTCAAATTGCCTACCCCTTTTCAGACAAACTGTGGATATTTGATACCACTTTCCAGACAGTAAGCATAAATGGTACCAAGGGCTTGAAAGAAAAAATGCTTTGATGATCGAAATGAAGTTACAGAAAGAAAAATTCAGCTTCATTCTCCTGATTGTTGGATCACTCAAGCTCTAGAGACAGTCTTTGGAAAATATGGACCTCTTTTCAGACAAAAAATAATGAAAAAAGAATACCTCTTTTCAGACAGAAAGGGTAAAATAACATACCCTTTTCAGACAGAAGTAGTGAATTTGGCGGCACATATACATATAGCACTTCAATGTGAGTAACAACCCCCCCCCCCCCCGGGCTATTTATTTAATATCAAAGCAATCAGACTTGCGGTTTTTCAACAAGAAGTCGAAAATATCACTTTTTACCCAAAATTACAACAATAATCATAAAAATCAGAGAATCAAAGATATCATCTCAAAATGAACAAATCTGAGAGTGGTCCACATGTAGTACATAGTGTAGTACATATATAACTAATATATAATGTAATATATATATCTGTTTAATTCGTTTAAAAGATTCCTCTCATTAGTAAATAGCGCCCTCACTCCACAATATTTAGAATGAGTGGTTGGTCAAAAGTTTGATGAGTCAGGTGCATCTATTGGCTAAGCTTGTTGTACATACAGTACAGTTCTCGCGGAAGCTTTGGCTTTTGTGGCATCATTGTCGCCTACGCATGGCTTCATTGTCGCCTCAGCATCGCATCATTGTGGCATCAGCTTCGCGTCATTGAAAATTGAAGCTGTGTTCGCCTCGCTATTTTGTGGCATCATCGTGGCCTCAGCTTCGCAGTCTCATGGCATCAACATGGCATCAGCTTCA